AAAGACCAAGAGGTAGTCTTGGTTTGAACAGAATAAAGGCATATGGTCTAGTTTAAAATTAGTAAAGTGCATGTCAGGGATGTATTCTTTTAACATTGTTAGTTTGTATGCTGAAAAAGTAATCCAAGAAGCAGTGCTATATGAAGAAGGATGTAGCATCAGGCTTAGAGGAAGAAATTCTTCAAGATGTGCAGATGGCACGCCCTTGCTTGCTGAAAGTGAAGAGGATATGAAGCACTTGCTGGTGAAGAGAAAAGACTGAAGCTTCAATGTGGATTACACCTGCATATAAAGAAAACAAAGTCCTCACAGCAGGACTAACAGGCAACATCTTAATAAAGGGATAAAATACTGAAGTTATTGGGGATTTCATTTTCGTGGATCCACAATCAACACTCAAGGCAGCAGCCAAGAAGTAAAAAAGTGTATTTCACTGGGCAAAAGAGGTCTCCTACAAAAGAGAAATCCTGCAAAAGACTTCTTTAAAGTATTACAATGAAAAGATACCACCTTCAAGACTAAGGTTTTCTTGCCCCAAGCCATGGAATTTTCAATAATTTTATATGCATTCAAATGGTGGACTAGGAATAAGGAAGATGGAAAAATAATGGATGCATTTGAATTATGCTGTTGGTGAAGAATATTAAATATACCTTGCATTTTGAGAAGAACAAACACATCTATCTTGGAAAAAGTACAGTCTGAATGTCCCTTAGAGGCAAGGATGGCAAGGGTCCTTCCATACTTTGAACATCTTATCAGGTTATGTTGTTGTTGTTGTTAGATGCAGTCCAGTCAGTTCAGACTCACAGTGACCCTACTACAACAGAAAGAAACATTGCCCACCCTGCACCATTTTCACGGTTGTTTCTGTGCCCATGTTGCCGGCGCCGTGTCAGTCTACCTCAGTGAGGATCTTCCTTTTTCACTGGTCCTCTTCTGCACCACGAATAGTGTCCTTTTCTAGGACTGACATCTCTTGATAACATGTCCAACGTTCCTGAGAGGAAGTCTTGTCATCCTTGCATCTGTACTTTGAAGACAAATTTGCTTGTTCTTCTGGCAGGCCAGGTATTTTCAGTATTCTTCACCAACACTATAATTCAGAACATCATTTTTTCTTGCGTTTTCCTCATTCATTGTTCAGCTTCATATACATATAAGGTGTTTGGAAATATCAAGGCATGGGTAACACCTCTCTTAGTCTTCACAGTGACATGAGTGCTCTTTAACACTTTAAATAGATCTTGCGCTGGAAGAGCTATGCTACTAGTCTTATTAAAGATTAATTTTAAGAATTGAAAAGTTTATTCAAATAGAAAAGCATTCCAACATATGTTTTAACTCTTCTGTAGTTCCTCATGTAGGAGATGATTAAGACATGTCTTGAATCATTGCCCTGAACCTATTTTATTGAATTGATTTAAGTTGTTTAGCTTTAAGATGTATGTTGAGTTATGAAAAACTTGATAAGTTCTGTTGGCCAATCTCCTCCAATAACCTGATATAAGATATTCTTAGTACTCTTCAACATCGTTTTCATATGACTGCTTGAAGAACATAAGGTATAATTATCATAGTTCATATAAGGTTCCCATTTCTGATTTCCAATTATTTTCTGTTACCATTCAACTGCTATATTAGCATATGGGCAATAGAGGCCACCATGCCTGGCAATTTTCTGTGCAGTGAAGAATCAGTGAAGAGGGGCAAGATGCAAGCTTAGGAGGTGTGTTTCCAGCAGTTTTGAAAATAAGCCCACATTTTATTCTGAAATAGCGCTTTAATATCAATATGGATTTTTTGGGCAATATCTTCTTTGTCATTTCCTTGGAATATATATAACAAGTGGGGTTTGCTTGGTAGCTTGTTATAAGTTTCAATTCCTTATATATTAAATTCAATAATAGACCATATGAGTAGCCGTTATTTTTAGATCTAATTTGCTCTTCTTTCTCTGAGAGGTAATCTTGGGTTATTGGTGTTAGCATCATATTTTGATGTAATATATGTATTTAATTACATAAATGGCTCTGAGCACACTGCTTTTACTGCACTCAATAAATTTGGTAAGTTATATTTTCATTTCCATTTAATAAAAATATTCTCATGAGATTTCTCCTGTGATTTATGGGTTATTCAGAATTGGGTTGTTTAATGTCCAATTATTTGGGTGGGGGGTGGGAGTGGGGGAGATTTGCAGGGGACATCAGGCTATCTTTTGGTGACTAATTTCTAGTTTAATTCTGTTTTGATCTGAGATGCCTTTGTATGACTTCTATTCTTTAAAATTTATTAAAGTGTGTTTTTAGACCCAACATGTGACCCAGGTTGGTTAATGTTCTGTGTGCAGTTGAGAACAACATGTCTTCTGTTGATGTTAACACACACAACTGACAGCGATCTGTGTAAAATAT